TAGCTGTACAGTGCATGTCAGGTTCAGCAAGTAGTAATTAAGTGGCATCAGGTGTGTAGAGTAATGGGTAATATCATTTAGTAATCAGTGACCTAACATATAACTATAAATTAAATTATTTATTATTAAGTATAAATATGATCAAGTTAATATAAGGATAGGCAAGCCAGTTATCAGTAATTTCTTCTGAGAAAAGAGAGGTTGATTTCTGTAGTCTCATTCTTATATATACTTTTTGCAATGTGTTATTACTTAAAAATATAACATGTATTAATAACCCTATTCGCTGATATCCCTTGTTTTTTCCTTTTCACTTAACCCAATAGCACACATCACCTTGCACACCAACTTGTCAGAGTCAGAGTGATATTGTCAGTTCACAGATATATCTCTAATACATATTTGTGTATGACAGATTTGTACATATGATGTAAATTCATAATCATAGGAAACATTCTTTCTCCAATAAAGAGTTCACATTTGGTCAATACATAAAATTATTCATTCATCTCACATCTATTTCACAAGTCTTCATTCAACAAGCATATATGTACAAACTTAAGCTCTTGTTCAGTTTTCAACTCTTTTATAGTGAGTCTTTCTGTAATGGATTCTTCTTTTTCACCCCTAGTATATTCCATGCAGATGGAGACCTCCACCAAAAGATCTTTTCTCTCTCTTATTTCCAAATGGGCTTTTGAGGACTTGTGGTATCCATACCTATTATGTATTCTCACATTTTTTATATTCCAAACAAAATAGGGATTGGAGATAGTTGTTGATCTTTCTCTTTTGAATTCGTATCTTGCAATAACCTACTTCAGAATGAAGGTCGTTGCTCTTCTGTTGTGCCACACTTGGATGACCAATTGGATGTTTAACTGGATGTGACAAATGGTACTTTCATGTACCAATTCTTCCACTTAGTTGGAGGTAAGTCCATTTTATTCATAGATATTGGATTTTTCAGTTTCAGGATGGTCTCAGTCATTTATGTCTTTACCTGACTCGTGGACGCTGTAGCAGCCTGGTTTCATCAGCTAGGTTTTGATTTCTATCATTATTTATCTTCAATGACTGGTTTCTTCTGTCTTTAGCCAAGATTTTTGCCAAAGGGGTCTGATAAAACTTTAACTATACTCATTGAGATGAATGATTAACATGTTCAAGTCCCATTTTATTCTGATGTAGCATCTCAGCCACCAAAAGGTCCTCATTTACTCCAGGCTAGAATATCTTCAGATAACTCCATAATATCTGAGAAGCTTATATTCAAAACTGACTTGTTTGTTGTGAATGCAAACCTTTTTCTTCACTATATCCATCGTTGTCCATTGCCCCATTTATTGAACTAGGAACTGCTGACCTTCAGCTGCTGTAGTAGGAGTTAGCTCTCTAATAGGTCTTTTCAGATGGCCTTTCAACCTTACTAATTTTAGACTTTGTTAGGTGATTGATGAACTGGGCCTATAATACTTAGGGAATATCTCTTGAGGTACCACCACCATGTTTTGATCTCTTCATGGATTCTTCTTCCACTGTTTGGTATGCTATGTTTGGTCTTCCACAAAGCATGATATGGACATCAATGTCAAAGAACTGTAAGCAATTCATGATGTCTGCTATGTCTTTTAGTCAGTTGTTGTTGCCTACTTGACAAAAGTATGGTAATGTATTATACCAATAACCAAGAGACTATCTCTTCTCATAATCTTTTATTTCAAGACATTGAGCCTTCACTTCTGAGTTCAACTGAAACTTATGCTGTGTCCTGGGCATCATGAATCATCTGGAAAACAGCTTTCATATGTGGTAATAGTAGAGGCATGATTTTGTCTTTGAAAGTAACATTTTACAACTGAAATGAATTCTAAAATATATTTATCCTTTCTATTATCTTCTATCCCCACACAGAGAAATTGACAGGAACATATAACCATAGAAGGTATTATGTGAGTCACTTAGAGACCAGGGACACGTGTATTCTAATGACTGGATATTGCAATCCATGAAAACACATGGCACATTTCAATTCATGAGAAGTAAGATTTTACCAGAATACAGATTACAAATAGAGAATGCTAGGAGAATGAAAGAGGTAGGGAGGGGAGGAATCCATAAATCGAATTTTTGGTAATAACTAAGAGAACTAGTATGATAATAGTATAGGTAAGTATATTCTTGACTTTTGTTTAGTTCTTAATGTTAATTTCTCACAGTTTTACCTATCTCTTTAAACTGAATTTCTTTTACTTCAGTCTGTGGCTGATGAGAGTACCTCTGTCTCTTCTTTTAAATATTTGAGTTTGATTTCAGATTTTTCTTTTCTTTTATAGACTTAGAAACTGTAACTTTTCCAATTTTTCATGTTGGTCAGTAGGAACAAATTTGATGTGTTTTTGGGCTTCAACTGTCTTCTCTTTCAGAGATTTCGCTCTGCTTGAAATGCTTAAAAAATCTCCTAATTCTTTGGCTCCACTTCTGTTTACCTTTATTATTCAACTTCTTCTTACTTGTATCTTGCTTAGAACCTCTGGCTTACTATTGCTTTGACAATGAAATATTTTTTAATACTCAATCAACATTGATGAGTGATCTTGGATATACAGACATTTCCATTATTGAAGAACCTTTTTCTGTGGATGCTTACTGTAATACATTTACATAAGTCTTTGGGCATTGTCAAAGTACGATTGCTAAATATAACGATAATTAAACAAATAAAACACTAAACAGTAATCATGGGGAGAAACTACAGCAAGAAAACACAACAACAAAAAAAGTAAAATCAGTAATACGAACATATATAAAAAAAATGTATAATTTAAATAAAGACTGCATGTTGTTCAGTGTTGGAGAGTGTTGTTTGATGTGGAGGGTTTCTTTAATCCATAATTCCTGGTCAGTATTAGACTTGCAGAGGATAGAGAAATTTGATAGTATAGGTTGATGTCCTGTTTCTTCACTATGTTGGTGTATAGAGGAAACACAGGGGTTACTCAGTTTTTTTTTTGCATTTTGATGGAAATTCCCATATGTTCATAGGCTCTGACTTTTAAATGGCATTTGGTT